TTCGGGTTTTGCGATGACACCTTGATGAACCAAAAGGGGACCAGCATGAAGGTGTTGTTGAGCTTCTCGATGTCTGTGCAAGTCTTGAAAGGATACAAGCTGCAGCCGCCCACTTTGTGGATTGAATTGGGATCAAGCTTGGAGAGCTGGCCGTAGGCAACAAGCTTCAACTTGTTTTTCGCGATGTTCTCATTGGCGCAGACATTCATCGGCGGTCCGAAGAGGCTCACCATGCTGCTGCAGTTCGCAAGCCTGCAGCAGGCCTCGTAAAACTTCACCTGTTTCTTGGCAAGCTCCACGGGCTCCGAAGCTGCCGGGCTTGACTCGTACATGAAATCGTGAGTCTTGGCCTGGTCGTAACAAGTGAGAACCGGCTTCTTGGTTCGTTTCCATTTCTTCAACTCCGAAGCAACCGCTGACACGGACTCGGCGGGCTGGCACAAGGGCTGGTGCTCGAACCTGGGTTGAAATCGGTTGAAACATGGAATCACACATACAATATCTATATATGTATATACCTGCCACAGATACATGCACGACAACTGCATACCCATGCCAGTGTGCAAGCAAAACACGTGCAACCTTCGTCAGCAACCTTGGTCAAGGTCCGAACCTTGTTGGGATGGTCTTCGTTCGTGTAATTCGAGCCCACCTCCAAGTGATCGTATTCGACAAGCGTGATGCTCGCTTTCGATGCATCAACCATGTTCACGATGTCCGACTTGGCTGGCTGCGCAGATGCCGACGAAGACGGCTTCGCATCCTTCTTCATGAGCTCGTCAGCGAAAGCATCCCGAATGCTCGCGAAAGGAGCCCACTCCCGCTCTTCACGACCTGCCTTCTGTTGGCCAAGCATCCACAAGACGGTCCGAACGCATAAGCGCCCGAACACCTGGATCTTTTCATGCTCGGACAAGTGGCCGGCCAATGGAGTCACATGCCATGCATCTCGAAGGCCTTCCTCGGACTCCTCCAATTCCTGCTTTCGCTTCTTTGCAGCATCGCGGTCTGACTTGTAAGTCATTTTCGCTACTCCATCCACTACCTTCGGTGACGACATTTGGGCGGGCATGCGTGCGATGCGAAAACACGGTGCGAGATTGGCATCCAAGCGGAAATCATAGTGAGCGATGAGACGGGTGAATTCCGAGCCGAGACGTTGGGAGTCCCCGTATATTTTGCCTCGCGTGAGCATTAAGTGCAAGAGACATCAATTAAGAAATTGGCATGCGCCCTCTAAAACATGCAACGAATGCTTAAACTAACACTTGAGACCAGTCACTGAACCCCACCAGAGAGTCGACCATGGGCATATCTGTTCCACCACAGAACTTTTGAGCAAACATCGCGATGGCATCAAGGTAAGACTTACAAACTGGTTCCCCCTGTTTGCACAAAGTAATGGCTTGCTGCATGGACTTCCCAGAGGCCATATACTTTTGCAAGGTAGCGAGGGCCTCCATTTCGGTGCTGGCTACGTGGACGGAATTGCTGTTGTTCAAAACCGAGGAGCATAGGAGAGGCAGGCCCGGCCACTGCTGCTCCAACACCTCCGACAAGATAAGCCAAGTGCAGCCTGAAACCAAGGCCTCTTGGACCGGGTGGCCCGGTTGCATGCAACTGTTCGAGCTCTGTTCAATCTTGCCATACATCAAGCTTTTCAAGAAGCATGTTGTTGTGTGGCTGGAACCACCAGTCATGAACAACTCCTTCCCCTGTGGCATTGACAGACATACATGACGAGAACTGTGCCGCGAGCTTGCGGTTCGCTTCGATCTGTTGCTCTCTGATGGTGCTGTTGCTACTCAAGCCGATCGCAACAGCCGAGCATTCCAGCAGATCTTTCCTCAGGCCTTGGGACAGGATTCTTTCGCCCTTGGCCATCATATCATGCCCATTTAACATGGCTCCACCCCTGTTCATGGGGTGGATCAAGGACCGGTCCGGTCCATGCTTCTGCAAGGATGCCAAGCCGTTTGCCATCCACAAGTCATTGAGCTTTTGAACCTTGAGGTTCGCAACATCTTCTGAAGTAATCATGGCATCTGCTTGCTGTTTCACAGCTTCACTCAGAGCCATGACTTCAACAAAAAGGCCTTTGCAACTTTTGCTTTCTTGGACCAAAGCTGTCATGGATGTCTGTATGTACCTTTCAGATGCATCTAACATGAGCATGAACATGCAACCATCAAGCCAACACATGCCATGCAACCAAACATGCAATCTCGTTTAAAACACATCCTGCATGCAAGTAACATGCATCAACAAAGCCATGCCAAGACATTTTCAAAACCATCACCATGCAATCCAAGTGCCAAAACAACACATGCATGAACCATGCAAGGTGCAAACCAACTTGATTCAATACATGCAAGACATGCAACAAAACATGCAAGCCCGTGCCAAGAAAACCAAGCCGCACAACAACATGCCAAGATCTCGACATGCATGCATGCATGATTTGCATTGATGCAACTGCATGGTCAGCACATCATGCCAAGGACATTGCCAACTGCCATGCCTGCAAGCCATGCAAAGTATTAGAGTAAAAGCCAGAACTAGCATTGCGAAAATACGAAATTTAAGCATCACAAAAGTACTTTTCTACTTTGAAAAACATACTTGCCTAAGTGGTTAGCAGCAGAAGCTAGCTCACTAGCTTTTTAATTTAAGTTAACATAATTACAAAAACCGCTTAAGCATTTAAATCATACTATGTAAATTATAGTTCTTTACCACCTACTTACTACTTCGTTAATACTTCGTTACTACTGCTTTAATAACCACCTTAACCGGGTAGCAACACCCAGAACATTCAAGTAGTATTGCCTCAGTTTCTTCACTTCAGTTATCTTTTGTTTGGCCTTGTACTGCATGCCGAACGCCTCGTTTTCCCTCATGAGGAGCTCAGGGGGTGTGTCACCTTCATCGAGCGAATCCTCCCCCTCATCAAACGGGCCATTCTCCGGAACCTCCTCCCACTCAGCGGCAAAGACCTGTCTCCCTGCTCGGCTCCCGGGTGCCCCGCTCACTGTGCGGCCGCCGCCAGGCTGAAAGCGACCTCGCGAGTCCCCGCGCTGCAACAACCATTCCTCGCCGTTGCGAGCCATATTCGGTTCCGAACATCCTAGTGGATATCCCGCTTCTCCTTCCAATTCGCTCGCCAGCTCAACCATGGCACAGGTGACAAGGTTCTCGTCGGAATCCGAGCCCGCCTTCGTTTTGACCATAGCAAGGTCTCTCTTGCTCAAATGGGCGTGGTCGAGCAAATGCCCGACGTAAAAGGCTTCGCCCATCGCTCAGGAGCTGCCGAGGCCAAGCAGCTGCCCCCTGTACAAGGAGGTTCGGGTGATGTAGCTCTCGACCGACTCGTGGGGCGCCCGGCTCAGCTGCATAAGCCGGCGCCTGTGCTCGTCGATCTGATCTTGAGCTTATCCACCTGCTTGATGAGCGGGCTCCTTTCCAGCTCACGGAAGATCACATCCTTCCCGTCGGGGCAGTTCACGTCATTGTTGCCGAGCCTTTTGACCAACTGGGCCGCCCGATCCCGAAGCTGCACCGGTGGCAGCTGGCTGCCCTCTCTTCCAATCCAAAACTCCACACTGCGTTTCCACTCGGCATAGCTCTCCTGAGGTTTCGCCTGGAAGTTGGGCTGGTAAGTGCTCGACACTCGTCCCGATGGCTTCTTGTCGCGGTCGGCCTGGTTGTCCTCTCCGACCACTTTAACCTCGCCCTTCCGGTCGCGAAACTGATCCTCGGCCGGGGTCTCCTTGTAGTAGGTCTCGTCGTGCTCGTTCTCCCGGACGTACAGGGCCTCCTTCTCTCCCTTCACATCTTCCAAGCTTTGGCCGGCTCTTGCCATTGGCCATGGCTGCCAGAGCATCCCGTCTTCCAGCTCCAGTTCTCACAGCTCTGACGATCGCAATCTCCTTCTCCTGGACCGCCACTCTGGCTCCAATTCTCATAGCTCTGCTTGTCTCCATCCTGACTAGGCTTCCACGACCAGTTGTCGTGGCTTCCCTGGTCCTCCTCCATCCACGAGACCTGGGGGTCTCTCCAGGACCCATCTTCTGTCCATCCATCCCAGGCCGGCTGCCTCATCGGAGTGCTCGTCCGGCTCCGACTCCAGGTTTCCTCCTCATCGCCATCCCTGCCTAAAGTCGCTAGCTGCCGTCGGTGCCAGCATTCTCACAAAAACGTCGTCCCGCTCTCCCCATAGCATCCCAGCCCTGGTCCTCGGTCGGACTCGATTCCCCATTCGAATCTCCATCCAACACCACACCGAACGATTCATAGTAGGATCGCATCTCCTTGCTCTGCAGGCCACTCGCACTGGCCCCAGCCCCGACACAGCGGAAGCTCAAATGAAAACAAACTCCCGGATCGCACCCTGGAGCTCCCCAAAGACCACAGTGCCCCGGATCGAACCACGCTCCGCTGCCAGCGGAAGATGGCACGGGCAATCGCAAAAAACACCGACGTACGCAGAGGTTTTCTGTTCCCGCAGAACAAGGAGCCAAAAGGGCTCAGCCGGATCTGCTTTTGCACCTGTCGCACCGGCTGGAATGTGCACGTTTTCAGTGTAAGTTTGTATTCTGCTGACTTTGTTGTTGCAGTGGCCTTTCGGCTGGTGGAGATTTTGGGTGCTTGTATCCCGAGCATTGTGAAGCTGCGATCCACAGCAAGGGTCTGGCGGCCGATCGGCACTGCCTAGACCTGGCTTGGGTCGTCATGCAATGGCTCACTCTTCGCCTATCTTGCGGCAAGGACCTGCGGAAATCTCGGCTTGTTGGCACACCTTGCCACCGCCTCGCAGAAAGAGCATGCAAGAGCCAGCCCCACACCTAACACAGAAGGGTTTAATGGGCGCAGCGCCATTGGGAAAATATCTGCGGGACCAAAAATCATGTTGACACCATTTGACACCCACCCCTTTCATCTTCAAAAGTGTGTGTTTAGGTGCTCTGGTTGGGCTTCAAGTCCTAGTATCGGCGGGTCAGGAAGATGACATCATGGAACGCAAGAAGCTCTTGGAAGATGTTGGCAAAGATCCCAGCGAGGACAGCTAGGCTCTTCGCCTAATCAAGAGTTTGCTTGAGAGCCCGGCGTTCGATCTGGTCGAAGGAGAACACTGCTGCGGCTGAGGTTGAGGGGAAGTAATGTTTTCAGGACGTGTGCCCGGAATGGGAGAAATGACGGAGAGATTTTTGAGACTGAAGGTATATGCTTTGACTGTGGCCTGTTCCTGTGATTCTATCTTCCTTGTTTCTCTCCAGCTGAAAGTCGATAGAGCTTTGATGGAAAACGGTACGAAGGCTGCTTCCCATGCAGACGATTTGACACTCCCTGGCAGCCGTGGATTCTGCAGCTGCAGCCAGGCGGCGCGCGAAAGCAGGCTGAACCAGCCTGCTGCATCTCCCACCTGGCTTGCCCAGAAGTGGCAACGCGTCCCTCCCCCCATCCGCAAGGCAAAGTTCCAGCTGGCGCAAAATGGTTGCATTCGAACGTTCGTTGGAAGCTGCAGTTCTGCAGCAGCAATCTGTCAAATGCTCGTGCATCCACATGGGCGGACAAATGCTGTTATGATGGGAACGTTTGAAACAGCCGCACGCGACAGAGGATTGCGAAAGGTCAGTTTCATGAGCTTGCCTGCGTCAGGTGCAGGAGCTGCAGCATCAGCTGGTGGAGGCGCAGCCCGGGCCCGAGGACCGAAGGTGCGGGGAGGGGCGCTAAAAATTTGAAAGCATTGCCTGGCCTTCACCGCCTCTGAAACTGTACAAGGCTTTTCCTGAAAGCGCGTGTTCCGTCCAGCGAAATGCTGATTTTGTGGCATTTCGATTGTTTTATTTAAGTTTCGAAGTTGCTTTTGAAAGCATGCGGCTTTTCTCGAGGTTCTTGTGTGCACAAGCTTGAGGGATTAAATACAGGGTGTCTGTTAGGAGGCAGACGATGTTTAGGCTTGCCTTTTTCGGGTTTACAACTTTTGTTAGTAGAAGCTTTTTGGGCAAGCAATGTGTCAGGCTGTGGGTGTTTGGTGTGCCTTGGTTTTGTCTTTTGGGCCCGAACGGTGCGAGATGTTCGGCCTTGCACTGTCTCGGGCTTGGGGTTATCAAGGTGCAGAATTTCAGGCATACAAGATTTCGGTGCAAATATTGTTTAGGAGGTTCGGTGCCCTAGGTTTTCTGGGATTTAGCGAAGACCGAGACCTGAATCCGAAACAGAAAGGCCACAGTGTTGAGGGCTGAGGTTGGAGGATTTGCGCTTACAGAGTTACAGAGTGTGGGTTAAGGTTGAAGGTTTGGGCTTGCTGAATTTGGGTAATGGCTCAGGTTTCCAGCTTGCAGAGTATGGGTTGGACTTGAGGCTCTTGGGCCTGCAGAGTGTGGGAAAGGTTGAGGTTTTGCTGGCGGTGTGATTGCACCCCAACCCCCCACCCGCCACAGATCCACAACAAAACCAGAAAAATTTGGAGATGTGAGTGCACTCAGACGGCGCTTTGCTGCCGCAGCTGCTGGCACAGCGCCGCCCAGGTCTTGTGCTGAAGTGTGACAGGGTGCCCATGGGTGCCCGGTTCCTGGGAAGGGGGGGGGCTTTGAACTGAGGCCTCCAGCTGTGGCCTGGGGGCCGCCACAGGTCAACGAACCTGCAGAGGCAGATTTCAGACATGGCAAGTGCTCATAAACGTGGAAGCCACATGCTGCACTCCCCTGGCTTTGATTTGTCTGCGGCAAAACCCACCCCCATAGTCATGCCAGAGGCTGCCGTTGTAACCTCGGGCCCAGGGACTGGCAATGTGCGTTGGTGAAATTGTGCTGTGTGTTCGCACGGTGGCATGATCGCAGTAGCGCATGAAGCTTTCCGATAAACCAAGCCACGCTCAGCTTGCCAACTTGTTGAAAGAAGATGCTTCAGGCTTTTGGGCTGTGTGTTGGATGAAGACATCAGTGGTTGTGGATGCAGCACGCGACACTGCTCGTTTGTGAGCCTTTGTGAGAGGTGGTGGCTCCCTCGGACGTGGTCGTGGAGCGCCGGCGGCAGTTCGGAGACCGGCTGCTGCGGCTCTGGGTAGAGGCCCGGTCGGAGCATCGAACAGGGCGTCAGCTCCTGCCGCCCGACTTTCTGAGAGCTGGAGAGAAGCTGAGAGAAGCTTGAAACTGCAGGATGTTCCCTTCCGCGGTGGTGCCCGGGTGCATGCCATGGACACAACAAGTTTTGTTCGAAGTGTGGTCGGCCGCTCAAGAACTGGGCTCCGCCCGCCACCCCTGCGCCAGCTCGGCCCGCTCAGGCGGAATTCTCAGACATGGACATTCAGGCTCCGAGAGCTCTCTCGCTCTCGCTGTAGCTGCAGCTTAGAACCATAAGCCAGGCATGCTCTGTCCTGAAGCGCTGCTCGCACTTCGTGTACCGTCCGACCGGCTCATGGTGTCAGTGCTTTTAGAAGCCAACCTGTACAGCTCCTGGCGACGGCTCCATGATCCTGCCGTGGCTGATCAAAGAAATGCTGCACCTGCCACGAGATGGCTTGTCAGGGTTTTATTCAAGGGTAATCGATACATGCTCGGCTAAGCCACGGCAGGATGGAGGGGGTGCTCAGCTGGTACACCGATGAATTGATGCACGTTTCCTACTGCTCAGGTCTTGTCATGCAACTCATAAGCTTGCCTAGAAACTCTTGCACTGCAGTAGGTTTTCATCTGCTTTCTACTCTGCTTGATTCAAGGATACAACCCATGGTTTCATGGAAGGACACGGCCATGGTGACACAGCACAGCAGCTGGAAAGAGGTGTGCTCAGTGCACGCGCATGTGGTTTGTGTGTTCTTGTTTTGTCTCTGATTGGAGCGCTCTCCAACTGGTAGTATGCGTTTGGATTCTACACGAGCCTTGCTCAGGCCCCCTGCCTGCCAGGTGAAGTTGAAGTGACGGTTCAACTTGAAGCCGGCCTAGCCCAACAGGTCACAATGGAGGACCGGATAACTGCTGAGTATAATGCTGCTGGCAATGCAACCTTGGCGAACTCCTTCTGCAGGAATGCGGAAGGGTCTTTGGCCTCTTCGGAGAGGTAGCACAGCTTGACCTCACGCGTCTCCGCGAAACAGGAGATCTCGTTGGGACGACTCATATCGTGGAGACACGCTGTTGGCATGCAAAAACACCTGAACAGCCATAGGCGTCCACAAACAGTGTCTCCAGGAGCACTGCGTGTCTGTTTCTTTGAATCCAAAGCAGCCCTGGGGCTACAAGACTACCTGGACACCCACGGAAGCCTTTGGAGGTGCGCCGTGACTGTTATGCCTATCGTGGAGCGGGAGTGTAGGGCCTGTGTGAGGCAACCTTGCAGCCAGATAAGGATGCTGACTGAGAGCCCAAAGAGGGAACGAGTCCGAGTTGTGTGGGCTGAGGATGTTTGCCCTGCCTACACTACCGCAGACCGACGAACGTTACAGCAGCAACAGATGAGTCGCGATGAAGCACAGGTCGCCACCAACAGTTGCGGACTCCAATGCCTTCCATGCCTCCGGAAGCTCTCCTGGCTATACAACTGTTAGCTCTGTCGCTATGGGCCGAATCGAAGACTCCGTAGGATTTTGTACTTGCTGCGCGTGTGTTTTGCCTCTGTTGCATGACTGAGAATGTTTGTGGCTCACCTTGAAAGAAATTCGCAGCTCTGCAAATCTTGGAAGACTGTTTGTAATCAAGGTTCCGGCGGTTACGGGTATTGGGAGCCTGGCCGGATTTCCAGTCGGCGACCATCAGACGCACAGGAGTGGTTGAAGTTGAAGCGGGTGTCGAACACGCAAGTGAACGCTGCGAAAATCACCAGGAAGTGAGGAACTACTTGGAAATTGACGAAGGGCGACTCCTCCGTGGTCAGGCGACATTCTGTGCCTAGCTAGAAATTCCGTGGGGAGATGGTTTGATGATGTCACGAAGGTTTGTTTCGTTCCAGTCTGCAGGAATCGCGCTGTTCGTTGATGATTGGACAAGTGCCAAAAAACTGTGATGCATCCCGACCGCACTAAAAGCTCACACACTCATTTCCGACTGGCCTCCTCCCTCCATCTGCCTCCCCGCCTCACCCCGCCCGCCCCTCCGCGGGAAAGGAGGAGGGGAGAGGGGAGGCAGGGGATCTTTCCGTCCGTCTGGCTCTGGCTCTGGCTCTGGCTCTGGCTCTGGCTCTGGCTCTGGCTCTGGCTCTGGCTCTGGCTCTGGCTCTGGCTCTGGCTCTGGCTCTGGCTCTGGCTCTGGCTCTGGCTCTGGCTCTGGCTCTGGCTCTGGCTCTGGCTCTCTCTCTCTCTCTCTCTCTCTCTCTCTCTCTCTCTCTCTCTCTCTCTCTCTCTCTCTCTCTCCCTCTCTCTCCCTCTCTCTCTCCCTCCCTCTGATCGTGTTTCTGCCCCTCTACTGTATCTCTCTGGTTCTCTTCGCCTTCCTTCTCGACAATTCCACATGCACTTTTGTCGCAAAATTGTTGCGTTTGTGCACACTGATGCCCACAACAGAGTGTCCAAAATCTTCAGCCGAGTCCATCTTCGTGCTGGAGAAGCTGCGCGAGCTCGAACTGTTGCACAGGCAGTCGTGTTCTTTTTTGCATGCGTCCTCGCGTCGCATGTCAGTGACAGGCGCATGCCTGGGCTGTGATGATATCTTTCCTGCCCTGCGTCCAGACTGCGCTTCTTTTACATGCCCATTGACAAGAGTCGAAAGCGGCATTTTGGATATGTGCCTTGGCGTGCAAGGGAGGCATGGCTTTTGCAGACTTGGCAGCTGTTCCCTTCCCCCACTTCTTCACATTGTTTGCTGAGGGGTCGGGTGGTGCATCTGCATGTTGCAATCATGTTGCGTGATGTTGACCCTACCTACCTGACTGTCTTCCGCGCGTGTAGACAGCAATCAGAAGAAGACGCATCCGCGGCAGCCTGAGGTCTTCTTAGAGGTGTCCACACCTCAGGACGTCATCGCTCTCTTACGTTGCGGGCTTAATGTCCAGAAGGTCTGTTTGCTTCCTATGCTTCTGGCTCGATGTCGGGCTGGCATGCCATGCTGTTATCATCGTGTCCAAGGACTTCTACCGCGCTTGGGTGAGTTGTTGGGCACATCGCGGTCGAACCGGCAGCTACACTTGCATTTCGCACGGATTCAGGCGCTGCCCTGATGTAATTTGCCTTTTTCACAGTCTCTGTGTCTTTGTCATGTCCCTGTGTGTATACAAATGGTGCAGCGCTGCCGGCCCCCCCCTCCCCCGCCCCACCCCATGGTAACCCCCCGGCCCCCCGTGGTTCCCTGTGGTGTGGGTTCCCCCCTGCCCCTCCCTCCTGTGGTTGCGGTCGGCTGCGCCCCCTTCCATGGCTATTGCTGTTTGGGCGTCTGGTTGCTAAGGGTTTGGACTTTAGGATGTAATACAGTTCCACTGAACTCCGACCGCCCTGAGCTCCAAAGCCAATGATAGTGATGAACACTATGGTGATGATGATGGCGAAGATGAAGATTGTCGTCATGATCCCCATCCGCAGTCTCCTCCGGTCCCTGGCTCAAGAGTCCCGAATGAAAATCACTCAAAGAAGTGCTCAAGCTTACTTTTAACGAACCCAACCGAAACTTGGCTTGGAATGACAACGGTCGATGCAGTTTTCGCAAGAACATCACAAGCCAAGCACGGATTTCAACTAAATAAAGCAATGAAAATGCGGTGCGGAAGCCCAGAGCAACAGAAGAGCAGAGGTACCACCAACAACCACGCCGGGAGTAGCACATCAACGTCATTGTGCACAACATCAGTGCCATCATTCTCATCTGTGTGTCGAAGGGGAGGGGAAGTGGAAAAGGCCCTGTGGTTCCCTGTGTTGTGGGTTATCCTTCCCCAACCCCGCCCCTGTCTGTAGTTCCCTGTCTTGTGGTTCCATTTGCTGTGGGTTATCCCTCCCGCCTCCCGGGTTTGCTAAGGCGAGAGGCCTGGCTTGAGGGGGCGTCGGGAGGGGAACTTCGACAGCTTCACGGATGACGTGTGACTGTTTGTTGGGACAAGGCCTGGCTTGGGGGGGGCATACCATGGGGGGTGGATGGGGGGGGGGGGGGGGCGCCTGCGACGCGGCGACGCGGCACCATATATAATATAGTCAAATCTATTTACTGCTCAAAGAAAACATATGTATATATGTAGTAGTAGTAGTAGTAGTAGTAGGAGTAGTAGTAGCAGTAGTAGTAGCTTCAGCACTAGCAGTAGCAGTAGCAGGAGCCGGAGCCGGAGCCGGAGCGGTAGCGGTAGCAGCAGCGGTAGTTAGCGGCAGTGGTAGCCGTAGCCGTAGCAGCAGGAGGCATGGACAGATTTCACGATTGGAGACTTCTTGTGGCGGCCGCAGTTGTTTCTTCCTACTGCAGTACTGCATATGTGATATATCCCGTTCCGAGGATGACGGTGACATGCACATGAAGATGATCATGATGATGCTGATGATGATGATGATCGTCTGTTCCTGATTGTGATAATGCTGCTATCATGACTCTGATGATAATGATGACGATGATGATGCCGATGAGGATGATGATGGCGCCGCTGTTGATGATAATGATGACTATGGTGATGATGCTGATGCTGAACTGGATGCTACCGTACCCTGCACCCGTGCGTTCGCCGAACATCAATCGTGTTTTTCTCGATTCGGGGGCTGTATCTGCACATGTTGCACGAACGGAGCCCCACCGGCCCTCTACGAAAGCCCTCGGCGCAAAACCTGAAAACACGAACTCAAACATCAAACAACCAAACGAAAAAAACCAACGTTGTTTGTGACATTTCTCAAAAACACAATAAACATCAACAGCAACTGAGCAACACAATGAATAATTACATTCCGCCACACATCGTAATCTATACGCAAACTGTACAGCGACTGGAAGGTTTTTGCAAATTTATGCAACAACCCTGCAAAAACGACCGTCGCAAAAACGACCGTCGCACCCTTCGTGGCAGCAGACGCGCCAATTACCTTGTTGTCGTTGGTTGTTTGTTGGTTTTGTGTTGGTTGGTTGTTGGTACTTGTTGGTTGGTTGTGGTTTTAGTTGTGTTTTTTTTGTTGTGGTTGTGGTTGTGGTTGTGGTTGTGGTTGTGGTGGTTGTGAGTTGTGATTGTTGTTGTTGTCGCTGCTGCTGCTGTTGCTGTTGCTGCTGCTGCTGTTTTTGTTGTTGTTGCTGCTGTTGCTGTTGTAAGCCTCTCGGCTCAGGAAAGGTCAGGCTAGTACAGTTGCCTTTGTCCTTTCTTGCCATGGCATTTGTCAGCGCCTGAGCAGTCCCGGTCCCAAGTCCGGGAGGGAGCACTTAGACTTACAGCTTTCTGTTAGCTCCCAGAGGTGAGGGTTGTCGGCTTTGCGCAGCCGACAGGAGCAGGGCTCAACATGAGTACTGCGAAACAGCCTAGTGTATCGACCAGGAATCACCCGCCCGTTCCCAAAGGGAAAGGAAAACGCTCCTACCAAAGGGCGGTACGCAAAGCTCTGCAGGAAGGTAGTGCGGTTTACAAGGGCCTCTCTTGGGTTTAGTTAGACACAGCAGGAGCTACTCCGCTTCAGCCTCAAAGCCCTATGACCAACAAGCAATGGAAGATAGCTATCGGCACCGTGCTTCAAAAATCAACGAGTTTGCGGGGCAGGTAGACTCGCTTCTTCAAGACTTGCCTCCGACCTGGAGCTCCTTTCATCAAGCGATGAATACAGTGCTTCAGGTACACTTCCCCAAACGAAGGGCAGCTCAAAATAAGGAGGATGTAAGCATTTGGGAGGCGCGTTCTGCTCTGCGATCCATTCCCCTAACACTGCGAGTAGTCGCAGAGTTTTTGCCTCACCTCCAAACTCGCATCGTGTTTCGTTGCTGGAGCTCCCTCTCAAAGCAACGCTCACAAGCTAAAAGTGCGAAGCAGCTCAAGAAGGAGCGCCGGCAACCGGAGATAGATGAGCAACTCATGCAATCGGAATTTAAAGCCAAACAGGACGGAAGCCATTCCCTCTATAAGGTCATAAAGCGGTTCAGATCAGGAAAGCTTCAGGATCGAGTTCAGCTTCGGGACTCGGAGGGGCGCTTTCTGACATCCTCTGAGGAGCGTCGCCAGTTGGAAGAGTACTCCAGGGACCTTTTCGGATCTGGAACAGACTTTCCACTTTCCGGCCTGCAGGGTAGTCTGCACCTCACCCCAGCAGAAGTGAAAGAACAGTTCAACACAATCAAGGTCGGGAAAGCAGTTTCAAGAGATAGTCCTCCAGTGACTCACTTGACCATGAGGTTTCTTCCGGCTCTTTGTCAGTTGGTTTGACTTCTTCACAGATCTCTTGGTTACCCAAGCCTCCCAAGAAGCCAGACAAACCAGCCTCCCTGAGACCCATTGGAGTGATCGCCCCGGAGGGCAAAATATTGGCGGGGCTGGTCAGGAAGAGACTCAAAGCCACCCTCCAGCAGGCAATGACAGGGGTCTCCCAGTTTGGCTTTGTTCCAATCTGTAAGGACCTTACACATGTAGATCAAGCCAGGTACCGACAAGCCAACGTCCCGAAGGCAGCAGGCAAAGGCCACCAGGGTCTCAAACTCAAGGGTGGTGTCACCATGAGCGTGGACATGAGCAAAGCGTTCGATACGGTAGATAGACTCCGGCTAAGGGAAGCCTTGGAAGCTGAACGGGCAGACCCCCTCCTTGTAGAGGTCGTTGGGCACTTTCACATCAAGGCCTTGTACCGAATGACAGCCAACGATCAGAGCTTCGAGATAGCAACTCGCAGAGGTATCAAGCAAGGCTGTAAGCTCACCCCATCCCTATTTGCCTTCGCCTCTGGGCTCCTTTTTAGGAAGCTTTCTGGACACATCAGCCCCGATGAACTAGCAAAGCTCTTGACAATGTATGCTGACGACAGCCTAATCCAACCACGCTTTGATTCCGAGGCTGGTCTAATGATCGCGCTGAGCCACTGCGACCTCCTGTTGGATCAGCTAGTTGAGCTAGGCTTCAAGGTAAAGCCCTCTAAGTCAGCAATCTTGCTCCAGCTGCAGGGGGGGTTCCGCGCCAACAATCAGGAAGAAGCTCTTTCGCACCATCGAGGGCGTCAAGTATGTTGAGCTCCCGTCAGGGCCTTTGATCTCCCTTAGGTATCAAGTTCCGTATCTAGGGATCATTCTCTCTTACCATGACTACCAAATCCGTACTCTCAAGCGCCGGCTGGCAGCCAGCAAGCTAGCAATGTCTGAAGTCGCACATGCAGTTCGAAACCACCGAGCTTGGTCTGACAGACGACGCCTTTCCATTTGGACCATAACGGCATGGGCCTCGGCAATTTATGCACTGCACGTGGTCGGAGTCGGGCTCACTCAAACAGGGCCTGCAAAAGCTGCACTCTCACATGATGTACCAACTTAGATTTGTCCTGAGGAGTTACTCCCAGGAGACCAAGGAATCCAACCAGGAGTTACTCCGGAGAGTAAGGATTCCACATGTGAAGGAGCAACTGCAGAAGCGGATGACGCAGTTCTTGAAGCGCCAGCAGGCGGCAGATCCGCTCCTCCTTCCGCACTATAGGACCAGAGCAGAAGCGGTGAGTCACGCATTGGCTGAACTTTCCTCGGATTTCGCCACGACCCCAGTGGAAGATAAGCTGGTTACTTGTCAGGATTGTGGAGCTTGCCTGACAGGCGCGGGAGCTCTGCGTCGTCATATGCAGAAAGCCCACCCAGAATCACAGCTGAGCCTCAAGGGTCCCAAATTCGATCCTCTCCTGCATTCTCTGCCAGGGTCAGCCACATGCAGCGCCTGTCGATCTACATTTCGATCAGTGTTTTACCTGCGGCATCATGTAGAAACGTCTACCTGTCCAAGGGTTGAGCTGCTGCTTCGCCAGCACGAGGAGCTCCCGACAGAAGCTCAGATTAGATTATCACTGTCAGAGAGAATTCAGGGAGAGGCTCACAGAGACCCCGAAAGCGCAGCCAGGAACCCAGACTTTCATGCTTACTTCATGGAAGACTGCGTGCCTTGCGGCCAGATTCTGGTAGGCCAGAAAGGTGCCAAACAACATTTGAATGGCCAACACCCTGAAGTGATGGCCAGGCGGGAAAAGGTCCTGCCACCTCGGCTCACACAATTCAAGGTTTTTCTCCACAAGGGCGACAACTGCCGATACT